CGAATTCGAGGATGCCTGTGCCGATTTTGCGCTACCACCGCAACTGATTAGACCAGCTGAGTTGCAGCAAGGGTTAAGGCGCAGCGGTCGGGAGCGCCGTAATCCAGGCAAGTATAATGACTTTATTAGTTACGGTTCCTTTTCTGGTGGTGTTCATTACCCTCAGTTATCCTTCAACACGACGAGCGACGATGATACGACGGATGATCCGACGAGCTACGATGAGGTTCTGCGGCGGCCGGACCGAGATCATTGGATTGCGGCTATGCGTGAGGAAATTGCATCCCTCAGCGAGAATAGCACGTGGGTGCTCACCGATCTGCCTGAAGGGCGGAAAGCGATTCGGAACAAGTGGGTGTACCGAACGAAGCGAGGTCTCGACGGAACCATCCAGAGGTACAAGGCCCGCCTCGTGGTGAAGGGCTGCTCTCAACGACCTGGTCTGGACTACGACGAGGTGTACTCCCCGGTCGTGCGGTACGCGACCGTCCGGTATCTGATGGCACTGGCGGTGCGGTACAACTTGGATATTGACCAAATGGACGCGGTTACTGCATTCCTGCAGAGCGAGCTGAAGGACGAGGAGATCTACATGCTCCAGCCAGAAGGGTTCGATGCGTCGAATGGAAAGGTGTGCAGACTGAAGAAGGCCCTCTACGGTCTCAAGCAGTCCAGCCGCGTATGGAACGCGCAGTTGGATGTGGTGCTGCAGGAGTTCGGACTGAAACGGTCGAGCGTGGATCTCTGTTTGTACTGGTGCATCCGTGGAGGAAAGATGATGTTTGTAACTATCTACGTCGACGATCTCTTGATTTTCACAAACGATCGGAAGCAAAAGAAGAAGCTGAAGGCCCATCTGCACAAGCGGTTCCAAATGAAAGACCTCGGGGAGGCGCAACAATGTCTTGGCATCAGAATCACGAGGAAGCGTGAAGAAGGCAAGCTGTGGTTGGATCAACAAGCCTACATCGAAGACATCGAATCGCTTCGGTATGGCCGATGCCCACCCAGTTGCAACACCAGCAGATCCAAGCATCAAGTTGGACAAGTCGATGGCACCGAAGACGAAATCTGAAATGGAAGAAATGAAGTCAGTGCCATACAAGGAAGCAGTCGGGTGTTTGTCGTTTGCAGCTCAAGTCACCCGACCGGATATTGCTTTTGCCGTCAACGTTGTGAGTCAGTACAGTACCAACCCTGGCCGTCCTCACTGGGAAGCGGTGAAGAGGATAATCCGGTACCTGAAAGGTACAATAACCAAGAAGCTAGAGTACTCGACAAGCGGTCCAGCGGACATAGTTGGGTACAGCGATGCCGATTGGGGAGGAGATGCGGACGACCGGAAATCCACAACCGGTTATGTGTTCATGATGCAGGGAGGTGCGATCTCGTGGAACGTCAAGAAGCAGCCTACCGTAGCCCTTTCGTCCTGTGAAGCGGAATACATGGCCATGTCTCGCACGATCCAGGAAGCTATGTGGTGGAGTAATCTGCAGTCGCAGTTTTGCGAGGCCAAACCGATTTCCGTGTGCTGCGATAATCAATCGGCAATCAGCATCGCCAACAACGGTTCGTATAACCCCCGGACCAAGCACGTCAGTATACGGTACCATTTCGTGCATGATAGCCTGCAGCATGGTGTCGTCCAACTGAGCTACACGTCGACAACGGAACAGCCAGCCGATGGGTTCACGAAGCCGATGACCGTTCAGAAGCAGCAGAAGTTTCGGAAGCTAACTGGCGTCGCGGATTAGGGAGGAGTATTGTGATCGTAGCAACCCAGTAATTCGCGTCGCTATATGCACTTGTTATTAGTTGCTAAGTTTCTGAATAAAATTTGCATTCCACTGTTCAACGTCAACCGATAAAGACGTGTTTCAATTACTCTCTACAATTGTCCCAAGCTAATCGATGCACCCCTCGAAACATAGGAAAATCCACGAACCCCTCATTTTATCTGTCAAACTTTCATAGCAAATCAAAACAAACATAGTGTAGTGCTACTGTGTTACCTGACTTATAACGAATATACGTTGTATACGAGTACCCCGAATACAACGTATGACTCGTCTAATTTTGCATAACATTTGCAATGTAAAATTAGACGAACTATACGTTGCATTCGGGGTACTCGTATACAACGTATATTCGTTATAAGGCAGGTAACACAATAGAATTTCTACTAGAATGAGGTACGCTTATAATGTACTTAAGACCAATAGGATAGTCAAGAAAATGGTGTCCCACATCAAATTGCATCACGGAAAAAACGTTGTAGAAAATTACCCATTGGGTATTTTCTTTTGTAAATTTGGGTAAAAGTAGTTTAGAGTGTATTGTTTACACTGTATTTTTATCGTTGTCAGTTTCTCGAAAGTTGAAAAAAATGGCATCACCAGGAAATCAACGTCGCGAATTGATTTTACGCAAGCACCTGGAAAATCCTCAACTCTCTTATCGGGACATTGGAAAACAACTCGGAATCGTACAGTCAACGGTGAGTCGTGTGATTAAACGTTAATACGAAACTCTGAGCATCGAATGGAAGGAGAAAAGCGGTCAGAATGGATGTTCTTTTAGTGATCAGGATCACAAGCGTGTCGTGAAAGTGTTTAAGCTGAATCCCAATGCTTGGACAGGTTGAATCTGTCCAAGTCTTTCGTTCAGAGAGCCAAGGACCGGGAGGAACTGCATACATACAAAGTGCAGAAGGCTCCAAATCGTGATGAACGGCAAAATACGGTGGGAAAGTCACGGACCCGGAAACTGTACACCCAGATGCTGACGAATCCTCATTGTCTCATCATGGATGATGAGACTTACGTCAAGGCGGAGACTTCCAGGAGCTTCCGGGGCTACTGTTCTTCACCGACCAGCACAAGTTTGATGTTCCGGACGAAGTAAGGAAGCAGAAGCTTTCAATGTTTGCCAAGAAATACATGATTTGGCAAGCGATCTGCTCATGTGGCAAACGGAGTGGGCCGTTCGTGACTACCGGGACTGTAAACGGGGAGATCTACCTCAAGGAGTGTCTACAGAAGCGTCTGCTTCCTCAGTTGAAGCAACACGCCGATCTCCTGGCCGGATCTAGCTTCGTGCCACTATTAAAAGTTTTCCTGGAGTGGTACGAAGCCAACGCACTTTCATACCCAAGGACATGAACCCTCCAAACGCACCGGAACTAAGGCCCATCGAAAAATACTGGGCTATTATGAAGCAGGCACTATAATTTTCAATTTTTTATTTTGCTTGAATAATATTCATTTTCTCGCCTTTGTTTATATCTTCTCAACACCCCTTACATATTGGCACCTATTTCAAGCTGAACGTTGCATTAAGTCCTTAGTAACATTGACAGATTCTCTTCGTCAACTTTCGCTTGCCATGAAAAAAGACATTGCCAGTTATTTTCAGCACACATATCGGTAAAATAAGCTTTTACCTAGTAACTAATACGACAAACACAACAAGGAACTGTTATGTGCAGTGCTGCGTGATGTCGACAATGTCAATCGACGTAAGATATTGGTCTAGCATTGAATTTCACTTCCGACACTGATATTCGTAGGAAGCATGATATCAGGCGTTACGGCTTTGATATCACTAGCCATATGAATATCGCTAAGGAAAAGTTGAAAATCTTACTTACTTTTATCTCAATAAATCAACTTTTTTGTGACACCGCCGTATTGTTTTAATATTACTGATGAGTTTTCTAAAGATCGGTACTCGATTAGCTGGCGCATATAAGAAATATTTGCGGCAGATCTTTGAATATCAGCGGTTGCTTTACGATGTCAATGTCATTTGCGTACTGACATTGAGCTGAATGATAGTCAGCATTTTGTAGGTATTGATATTGATATTTTGCAGCACTAGTTATGTGCTCAATTTATTAACGAAACAGAAAGTCGACGAAGAGAATCGATCAATGTTACTTAGAATCTAATGCAGAGCAAAGATGAGAACTCATTCATGAATTTCACATTATTTGTATACTTTTGCATGATTGAGCCAATATTTTGTAAAGTTCGGAATAAGCTTTAAAATGCTTGTCAAGTAAGAAAGTGTGTTATATTGATGATTATATTTTCTTTGTTAACGATGTTTAAAATCATTAGTGATTATTGTAATTAATTAATAAATTTTACCATTCTTCAAGAAACACTGTTATATTACTTAACCATTTAATCATAGGATAAAATGTTGAGTGTTGATCCTAATACTTTATTTTTAAGACGAATCTGTTCAACAGACCTAAGCCTTGCTGTTGGTCCTGATCGTTGAATTTTTTTGACAGCAAAAATTTGATTTTTTGACGACCATTTCGAGTGACTACGCACCACTCAGGTTCACACATAAGTAAATATGTAATTATACAAACTCATCCTGTGAATCTTCTTCCATAAACCAGGAAAGTCAACTTCTAGTCATGTCCATCGAATGTATCTTCCTCTACAGGTATACCTCGATTATATGCACACTACACTTCACACTTTCATCGATGATTTCTAGGCAATTGCATCGCAATTATTATCACAAATCAATATTACAAATAGATACCAAATAATGAAGTTGCAGTTTTCAAGAAAGCACCGTTCAAAGTGTGAAGTGTCGTGTGCACCTAATCGGAATTTACCTGTACATAGGTTCTAAAGTGGTTCTCCTTCAGTTTCTCGTTGATTGTACACTTCATTTTGCGATGGGTCTCACCTTCAGATTCAGCTGAGACCATCCGCGAGGCATTGTTTTTCCTCTGTGTTTTGTTTGATGTTTTCGGCGCCCATTATCACCGAGAGAACAGGGGAAAGAGAGCGCCGTTCGAAGCATTTTGCCAACTCATCTAAACATAGTCTCGATATCTCAAAAGAAACTTCATCACTTTTCAGTAGAAAATTCTAAGCCTCGAAGCATCCTTACAAAAGAGCTCATCCCCGCCACCAACTACCTAAATAACGTATGTGTGTGGTTGTGTGTGTGCATTCCCGGATTATACTTACATCGGATGAAGTTGGCCAGATAGAGATCCAATTCCTTAATTAATACTTGTATGTGGTACGGATTGATGCACAGACTGGGACTGGTGCAGAAGCAGGCCTTCTCGAGCCGTTCGCCGTCGGTGCTTTCCAGGGGGATCGCCTTGAACAGAATTACCATCACCAAATCCAGCCGCCAAACCTGGGAAAATATATATTTCTTTAGAATCAGAAGGGGAATCAAAAAAAAAAAACTATCCGAGAAATCCAATCAGCCCTTTGCTTACCTTGTCCGCCTGCCGGAGGCAATCTATTCGGCGCATCTTGCCCTTCTGGTCCGGATTGGACAGGATGCACATGGAGGACTTCTTCTTCGAGATGCAGTGGACAAAGTTCTCCCGGCTTTCGTGGGTGATGTCCTTGCGCAGTTTCCCCAGCAGACGGGCGGCCCACTTTTGCTTGGTTTCCGGGTTTTCATTCTGTATAGCACATAAACCAAGGGGGTGGACAGTATATGAAATGCATGTGGGCAAAAATAGAAAAAGGGAAATGCAAAATGCAGCGAATGAAACTTCCTGTTCCTGATGGGTCATTGGATATGTGCATTTCGGACGCTCCGGACGGATGGATGTCGATCGGAAGTGCGTGTACGTGAGAAAGATGCAATATGCCGGCCATGGGGCGACATTGGAATGCACTCGGTCTGCTGCAGTAGAGTGCATTCGGGCCGTGAAGATTAATTCATCTTCATTAATTTTTGAAATTGGTTGATCAAATATACCAAATAAAAAAAAATTAAGGATTCAGCTTATTTTTGGAGAAATAACTGAAGCAAAATTTATCCATCGCGCCAACTTTTAATTCACGAATCAAGTGTCATCACAAGAATTACAAACAGACGTAACACCTCATTCTGGATCATCGATCACGCATTTCACGATTGCTTTGCATATTATTATTTCCGCCAACTACTACTGGCATAGGATCACTTTGACGTTTCTATATATTTTGTTTACCTTGCATGCAACATTGTTCGCGATTTAGCAGAGCAAGCTTGTTTTCCACAAGAAGCTCAAGAGATGTCGTTACTGAGGTTCTATTTTTAAACCCTGGTACGCGCAGCTGAAAATTAATGACGTTTTTACGTGCTACGGGATAGGACATGGAATGCTAAAGAAATTACTCTTCTCTAAATTGGGCTCTGGGCGCTTGTATTTTAATAGTGCAGCATGTTTTGAGTAAATAGACAAGATATCCATTTATAAATGAACAATTCAGCAGTTTAGAATCGACTATATAAGGGTCGCTTTCTTAGCCGTTCGGCTAAAATTCGGACATTTTGGTTTGCGTTATTTTCATCAATAATTACCAAAATTTGATGATCTTATGCTTAAACGTGACGAAAGAAGTTTAATTATAATCATGGAATGCGAATTATCACGATTTTCCACTTAATATCATGATTTTATAGTGCGGCCGAAAATTGGTGCATCAAATCATAGTATGCGCTTTGAGTTTAACGATTATGACAGTGCCGCCTTGTTTTTTCAACACTTCCGTTTCAAAGCAAAAAAAGAATATTATAAGGTTGCTCCCCACATGATCAAAAGAGTTTCAAATCAATAGAGTAGATTTTTCTGATTCAAATTTAACAGATTTCATATCGTTTTAATATTTGTAATGGTCTGAACTTAAATTCAATTACTTTCAGCCCTGAGATGCTCTAAAGTAATCGAAGGATACTCTAACGATCTGAATTTGAAGTACTTCTAAACCTTTTTTAAATTCTCTGAGGATCCGTGAGCCTTTTCGACCTTCCAGTAAACTTCACTGAAAACTTCCTAAGCTTCTACGAGGTTCCTTATATCCTTCGGGGGTTACCTATTCTTCTCAAAGCTGTTTGATCTTTTCTAAAAATCGATAAACTTCTCGGAAGCATCTATCTGCAACCCACTTAACTTCTCTGAAGGCTCCTCAGAACTTATCTTATCTTATTATGTACCCAGAAATACTCCTTAACTTCTCTGACATTCTCTACTTTTTAAACGTGTCCAGAGTATATCTGAAGTTCCCTAATTTACTTTTAAATACTTTGAGCTTTCCTGAAGTTCACTTATCTCCTCTGAACTTCACTGAGTTTCTCGCATCATCTCCTGGGCTCATGTGAGGTTTACGTGGAATTCACTAAATTTCTTATAAACTGCCCAGAACTTCCGTAAGACTTCGTAGATTGCACGAGCATCTCTGAAGTTTACTTAATTTCTCGAAAGTACCCTGATTTGGAATTGAACGCATAATTGTTGTATCCCTAGGACTTTTTGGAAATTCTACTGAACATTCATTTTTCGGAGGTTCCCTAAGTCTAAGTGAGAATCCATAGAATAACTCAATAGTACTATCCTGAGCTTTTTTGAAATTTTCTGAACTTCTCTGATGGTTCTCTTTAACTTCTCTGAAGATTCTCCATAACTTCCCTGAAGGCTCTCCGGAACTGTTTTGAAGGTTCTCTTGAACGTATCTGAAAATTCCCCTGAACTTTTCTGAAAGCTCTCCTGAAATTCTTTCAGGACTTCTCTGAAGCTGCTCCTGAACTTTCCTGAAAGTTCTCCTGAAATTCCTTGAAGGCTCTCCTGAACTTCTCTGAAGGTTCCCTGAACTTCTCTGAAAGTTAACCTGAACTTCCTGAAGGTTCTCCTGAACTTCTCTGAAGGTTCTCCTGTACTTTTCTGAAGATTCTCCTGAACTTCTATTAAATTTATCTTGCACTTCTCTGAAGGTTGTCCTGATCTTCTATAAAGGTTCTCCTGAACTTCTCTGAAGGTTCTAGTTAACTTCTCTGGAGGTTCTCCTGAACTTCTCTGAACGTCCTAACAACTTCTCTGAGGGTTCTCGTGAACTTCTTTGAAGAATCTCCTGAACTTTTTTGAAGGCTCTCCTGCACTTCTCTGAAGGCTCTCCTGAACTTCTCTGAACGTCCTAACAACTTCTCTGAGGGTTCTCCTGAACTTCTCTGAAGAATCTCCTGAACTTTTTTGAAGGCTCTCCTGCACTTCTCTGAAGGCTCTCCTGGACTTCTTTGAAGGTTCTCCTGAACTTCTCTGAAGGCTCTCCTGAACTTTTCTGAAGGTTCTCCTGAACTTCTCTGAATTTCGCAGAAAGTTCTCCTGAACTTCTCTGAATTTCGCTGAAAGTTCTCCTGAACTTCTCTGGAGGATCTCTTGAACTTCTCTGAAGATTCTCTTGAACTTCTCTGAAGGTTCCCCAAAATTTATCTGAAGCTTCTCCTGAACATCTCTGAAGGTTCTCCTGAACTTTTCTGAAGGTTCTTCTGAATTTCTCTGAAAGTTAACCTGAACTTCTCTGAAGGTTCTCCTGAACTTCTCTGAAAGTTCTCCTGAACTTCTCTGAAGGTTCCCCTAAATTTCTCTGAAGGTTCTCCTGAACTTCTCTTGAGGATCTCTTGAACTTCTCTGAAGATTCTTGTGAACTGCTCTGAAGGTTTTCCTGAACTTCTCTGAAGGCCCTCATGAACTTCTCTGAAGATTCTCCTGCACTTCTCTGAAGCTTCTCCTGAGCTTCTCTGAAGGTTCTTCTGAATTTCACTGAAGGTTCTTCTGATTTTTGCCAATTCGATTCTTTAAAGGTTCTCCTGAACTTCTCTGAAGGTTCTCCTGAACTTTTCTGAAGGCCGTCCAGAACTTCTATGAACATTCTCCTGAACTTCTCTAAGCGTTCTCCTGAACTTATCTGAAGGTTTTCCTGAACTTCTCTGAAGGTTCTCCTGAACTTCTCTGAAGGTTCTCCTGAACTTCTCTGAAGGTTCCGCTAAATTTCTCTGAAGGTTCTCCTGAACTTCTCTGAAGGTTTCGCTAAATTTCTCTGAAGGTTCTCCTGAACTTCTCTGAAGGTTCCGCTAAATTTCTCTGAAGGTTCTCCTGAACTTCTCTTGAGCATCACCTGAACTTCTCTGAAGATTCTCCTGAACTTCTCTGAAGGTTGTCCCGAACTTCTCTAAAGGCTCTCCTGAACTTCTTTGAAAGCTCTCCTGCACTTCTCTGAAGACTCTCCTGAACTTCTCTGAAGGTTCTCCTGAACTTTTCTGAAGGTTCTCCTGAACTTCTCTGAAGGTTCTTCTGAACTTCTCTGAAGGTTCTCCTGAACTTATCTGAAGGTCCTCATGAACTTCTCTGAAGGTTCTTCTGAATTTCACTGAAAGTTAACCTGAACTTCTCTGAAGGTTGTCCTGAACTTCTCTAAAGGCTCTCCTGAACTTCTTTGAAAGCTCTCCTGCACTTCTCTAAAGACTCTCCTGAACTTCTCTGAAGGTTCTCCTGAACTTCTCTAAAGGCTCTCCTAAACTTCTTTGAAAGCTCTCCTGCACTCCTCTGAAGATTTTCCTGAACTTCTCTGGAGGTTGTCCTGCACTTCTCTGAAGACTCTCCTGAGCTTCTCTGAAGGTTCTCCTGGACTTCTCTGAAGGTTCTTCTAAACTTCTCTGAAGGTTCTTCTAAACTTCTTTGAAGGTTCTACTGAACTTCTTTGAAGGTTGTCCAGAACTTCTCTGAAGGTTCTCCTGAACTTCTCTGAAGGTCCTCATGAACTTCTCTGAAGGTTCTCCTGAACTTCTCTGAAGATTCTCCTGAACTTCTCTGAAAGTTCTCCTGAACTTCTCTGAAAGTTCTCCTGAACTTCTCTGGAAGGTTCTCCTGAACTTATCTTAAGGTTCTCTTGAATTTCTCTGAAGGTTCTCTTGAACTTCTCTAAAGGCTTTCCTGAACTTCTTTGAAGGCTCTACTGCACTTCTCTGAAGACTCTCCTGAACTTCTATGAAGGTTCTCCTTTACTTTTCTGAAGGTTCTCCTGAACTTCTCTGAAGGTTCTCCTGAACTTTTCTGAAGGTTCTCCTGAACTTCTCTAAAGGCTCTCTTGAACTTCTCTTGAGGATCTCTTGTACCTCTCTGAAGATTCTTGTGAACTTCTCTGAAGGTTCTCCTGATCTTCTATGAAGGTTCTCCTGAACTTCTCTGAAGGTCCTCTTGAACTTCTCTCAAGGTTCTCCTGAACTTCTCTGAAGATTCTCCTGAACTTCTCTGAAGGTTCTTCTAAACTTCTCTGAAGGTTCTCCTGCACTTCTCTGAAGGTTATTCTGAACTTCTCTGAAGGTTCTCCTGAACTTTTCTGAAGGTTCTCCTGAACTTTTCTGAAGGTTCTCCTGAACTTCTCTGAAGGCTCTCTTGAACTTCTCTGAAGGTTGTCCAGAACTTCTCTGAAGGTTCTTCTGAACTTCTTTGAAGGCTCTCCTGCACTTCTATGAAGGTTATTCTGAACTTCTCTGAAGGTTCTCCTGAACTTGTCAGAAGGTTCTCTTGAACTTCTCTGAAGGTTTTCCAGAACTTCTCTGAAGGTTGTCCAAAACTTCTCTGAAGGTTGTCCAGAACTTCTCTGAAGGTTCTTCTGAACTTTTCTGAAATTTTTTTTGAACTTCTCTGAAGGTTCTCCTGAACTTCATGTAAGTTCTTCGGGATTTCTCAGAAGATATTTTGTCTATCAGAAAATCTCTTGAGCTTCACTGAAGTTCGCTTAACATTTATATAATCTCTGACCTTAACTGATGTTCGCGAAAGTTTCCGAGTTACCTAACAAGTTTTCAGGATTTTCTTTGAACATCTTTGAAGAATCCTTGAATTTCTCTGAAGTATTCTGAAATTCTCGTTAACGTTTTCAAAGTTCTCAAACCTTCTCTGAAACTCGCTAAGCTTCGACAAAGTACCCTGTTTTTTCCTGAAGTTCTCTGAAGTACCCTGAACTTCTCTAAACTTAATCTGAGATTATCTAGGCTACCCAGAATTCTAAGCTTCCTAAGGATCATCAATTTGTTTGATGTTCTCTGAACTAACCATCATTTTTCTTACATTCTTTATTACTTTTTAAAATTGCCATGGACTTCCCAGAAGTTCTTCTCAACATCTCGTTGGTTTTCTGAAACTTTTTGAAACTCCCTAGACTACTCTTAAGCTTCCTGAGTTTCTCGAAAAATTACAACACTTCTCTAAAGGTCTCTCAACTACTCTGAAGAGAATTTTTAAAGGATTCTCTGAAAAAAGTACCTCTGATCTGATCTTTTCTAAAGTTCTCTGGGGCTTCTCAAAAAAACATTCTGGATTGCATTGAGTATTTAAATTTTTTATCCTTGATTTGTTTTCCGTCGATCTTGTTTTCCGTACTGTGTGCCAATGCTACTGACGACAGGGAGGCAGCTGCCACACCTGGACCCTATCTATCGACCCATCAATTCATGAACCGGGGACCAACGGCTTTACTTCCCTTCCGAAGGAAGGCGTGATCAGAGCTCCGACTAGGATTGAACCAAGGCCTGCTGGGGTGAGAGGAAATCACGCTTACCACTACACCACCGGCGCCACTAAGTACTAACATTGAAGTATCCTGAAATTATCTTTATCGTTTCTAAAGTTCTCTAACCTTCTCTAAAGCTCAATAAGCTTTTCCGAAGCATCCTGCTTTTTTCTGAGGTTCTTCGAATTACCCTGAACTTCTCTTAACTTAATCTTTCTACGATTATCTAGGCTACTCCAATTTTTCCAGAACTTTCTGAGTACCCTCAACGTGATCGAAGTTCTCTCATTTTTCCTAAATTCATTATGACTTTTCTATAATTTCCATGGATTTCTCAAAAACTCTTCCGAACATCTCTGTGGTTTTCTAAAACTTTTTGAGACTCTCTAGACTACTCTTAAGCTTCATGAGTTTCGCTAAGATATGCAAAACTTTTGTAAAGTTCTCCGAATTACTCTGAAGTTTACAGAGTATCTCTTTTTTTTTTCCTTGATTTGTTTCCGTCGATCTTGTTTTCCGTAATGAGTACCAATACTACCGACGCCAAGGAGGCAGCCCCCACACCTACATCCTACTTATCAACCCATCAACTCATGGACCGGGGACAAACGGCTTCACTTCCCTTCCGAAGAAAGGCGTGATCAGAGATGTTTTGTCTCTGAATTATACGGCGGCGCCGACTAGGATTGAACCCATCTCTGACGATGATTGTTTGAGGTTCATGAGGCTCGAATTTCTCTGAATATTTCCCAAACTCTTCTGAGGTGGAAGGAGACTCATCCTGTATCTAAGAGATAGTGGTTAACCACAAATTACTATCTAACAGCAACGGATAAAGGTGGGTCTTCTCCTTAATAACAGTTAGGAGCTTGTACCACCTACGACATTGTGCAATCTGGTTTATGCTATGCTATGTTATGCTATATCTCCTAAACTTTTCCGAGGTTCCCTTAGTCTTTTCTAGGTTACCTAGGCTACTATATACTCGATAGTTTTCCGAAATTTTCTTAAGTACTTTTGAATTTTTTTTCCAGGAATTGTCTATCTAGGCGAGTGCATCTCATGACAGCAAAACAAACCCTTTGCACCTATATATAATCTCCCCATCGAGCTTGTCTAAGGATCCTTTGAACTTCTATTAAGTTCTCTGAGCTTCTATGTGGGTAATCTGGACTTCCTCGAAGCTCTCCTAAAGATCGCAGAGGTTCTGTGACTATTTCTGATGTTCTCCCAAACTCAGACACTTCACTTCTCCGACGCACCCTAATTCTAGATAAACATTTCAAAAGGTCTTATCTGCATTGATCGATTCTCTGCATCGACTTTCTCTTTCGTTAATAACGCAGCTGCAAAACCTTTAACTGTTGTATTCGATATTGGACGCTAGTTAAAAATCTCCGTTATCAAACAATGCGGTAAAATTAGCGGGAAATCTGTTTGCATAACAGTGGTTATCAAAAGAGAAAGTCGATGAAGAGAATCGATCAACGCAGATAGGACCATTTGAAATGTTCATCGAGAATTGTTTCTAAAATTTTCAGAATCATTCCTAATATCTCTTACCTTCTCCTGGACTTCCCAAGGGATCGAATTTTGTATGAATCAAACTGGCAGGTGACCTATTACATTGCAAATACTTTCAAAAATGAGCACCCTATTTCGTCAATTTTCAGAGCTCCACTTTCAATACTTATAAATATTGAACCAGATTCATGGTTTCCATGCAAACTTCAAAAATCCAATACTATTCCGCGCTTCTTCGTCAACCAAAACATCCGATTCAAAACCGTCCACAGCCAACTTGGTTTTCAACACCCATCAGTGACGGAAAAACTTCCCTTCAAATCAAAATTTCCCTCACGAACAAAACCGCACGCATCGCCGCAATGCTGCACCGAAATACATACGCATCCCAGAAGTTATCATCCAGCAATTCAACGTGCATAATAATCGGACAGATCGCAGACTGCAAATCGGCGAGGGGCCTGAAATCCACCAGGGACCAGCAGAAAAGAAAATTACCACATTTCGGTGCACAATTAGGTCCCTGCATGTAGTAGTTAGCGAGTAGCTTCGGGCTATATCTGAGCATGATTGCACGTGGCGTCGGGTTTCTTTCCTCCGAATCGCAGCAACCCACCGACGACGTTGCTGCTGAGGGAAAATTATCCGGTGATTAGTGATTGTTGTATTGAATTAATTTTCGGGTTGCTGCGTTACGCATCGGGCACACAATAGATAAGGTGATTATCTTGTTATTGTTTGGCTTGTGCCATTAATATTTCATATGTTTTCCTCAGTGGTCGGATTTTCGGATAAACTTTGTGAGATAACATCAAAGGTATCGTGTTTGGATTAGGCTGCGACGGTGTGGGAGGGATGATAAACTTGTGGGACTTCCTGCTGGGTTTAATCTTGAGTATTCAAAAGAAAGCAAAGTTTCTTCGCGAAATGTAAAACTCCAACAAATGTTTTCCGTTGTTTTGAATTGCAAATTTCTCGACTCAGCTGCCGATTAATTGAAAAATAAACGCTAGCTTTTTGAAGTCAGTAACGAAATTAGCTTCCCCCTTCTAAAAACAAAAAAAAAAGAATGACAAGTCAACAGTGTACTTCAACCCTCCATTAGCGCCGGCGATAACTTCATTACCGTCACTCGAAAAATGTTCGCTAGCCAGCGTTTGATGTCGCGTTGATCGTGGGTGCTGGAAGGCACCCTTTTCCAAGTGGAAATTTTTCTCCCATTCCACACGGCGTAAATTGATACCACGCAGCAAAGGGGATTCCGTTTTCCCTCAAGAACCGAAAACGCCGGCATTTGCCGCCTGATTGAGATGGTATCGCATTTCTTCTGAATGCGAGTTCTTCAAACCTTGCACAAGCACATGGACAAAGTAATTGAATAATTGGCGCTATCAGTAGGTATATCGTTTGTAAAACATATCAAGCATGCCCAAGTGTTGCCCAACCTCGCTCCCTCCTCGCGTACCCTCGGATCTAGGTACGTAGCCTCTGGCCTCCCTGCGCTGGTAATGGACCATGGCAATAACGAAGTTAACCAATCGACTTTCGACAAATAAAGTGTCTATCATCATCACCATCATCGACACCCACTCGAAGAATGGCGATCTAAGTGAGTTGGGAGGAAAACCGGTTTCGATTCTTGCCATATCAGGACAAGAAACCCGTCGTCAGCCAGTCGGTCGTCGGTGTACATCAAAAAGATTGATTGTAGTTTTTACCCGACAATATTATTGTTTAGTACAACAACCAGTAATTGAATGCTTTTGCTTGAAAGCTGACATCCATCTCCGAACCTAACCCGGTAATTACCACCTCCATCGACCAGATCCAGAAACCTAATCATCCTAGTAACCCATTCCTTGAGCCTACTCGGACCTACCTGAAAATCCCGCTTGCACTTGTTCTCCTCGTTGTGGGTCATCTTTTTCTCATGCTTCTTGAGGTACCGCCGCTTTGCCGCCTGCAGGTTGAACCAAGTGTAACTGAACGACTTAACGTAAGGCAACAGAGCTTCGATGAACGGGTGGAAATCTTCCTGTTGCTGGATGGTTGTTTGTTTGATGTCGGAAGAATACGACTCGAGTCAATAAATTGAATTACAGCAAATCGCAAGGAAGAAGAAGAAAAAAAGCGGACAATCAAAGCAATCTTTCGAATGCATTCATTGAAGTTGCATTCCATCATGGTGAGGTGTAGAAAAATTTGGATTCCAATTACCGCGGGGGTGCAAAATTTTGATCCGGGTCTGTGTTTTGAGTGCCAATCGATCGCAGTGGGCCAGATTTGGATTTTGAGCTTCCTGGAAGAAGGGTACAAAACCAGTCAGTGGCTGCTTGATGGAATGCAGTGACGTTTTGAAGTTTCTCATTCTAGCAGGGACACAAAAGTGAGGTGTCCAACAACGCACTTACCTGTGTCAGAAAAGGCCCTTTGATTGAAGATTTGCTATCCATGATAAACTTCCTGTTGAGAGGTGGTAGAGAAGGAAGGAAAGACGAGAATGAACAAAGATAAATATCGGTAAGTAAAGTTTGCCAATAGCTAATGATATCTGTTTGTTTTTCACAGCATTCGTTATTAAACTACTGTCTAGTGACTGGGACTCCACAGTGGGATTAAAATCGCGCTATGTTCAGATATTGACAGGTTATTTGAATAACTGTGCTAGTTTTGGTCTCCACCTTTCAGCTAGCATTCTCTCTCTCTCTGTCTGTTTCGTTACGCATTGCCCGCCAAGCAAACACGATCAAATGAAGATATCAGACACATGTTTACATACAAAAGCACAAACATGCATAGAACAGTACTTTTTATGCGCATAGCAAATTACGGAAATATCAATTAGGGTAAATGATGGCTTCGGCAACCATTGACTGTTTTCGGCATCCACAAATTTGAACGTCAATTTCGCTGTATTTTCACACCCAAAAACACTTCGCTGAATGTATTGTAACGATTCCAAAGTCTTTCAGCTTGAATCTGATTACATTTTTACGACTGAGTAAACCTGTTTTGCCAGGTTTTTCTTCAAATGAAACCAAGGGGTGGTCACTCTACACACTTATTTTGCGCCAACTTTTTTTTTTCAGTGTGTCGCAGCTGTGCCGACAGTGCCGAGAAGTCATTGAACTGCTTGTGAATAATGCCTTGTTTGGCAACCCGGTATTTCAACAGCGCTTGTTATTATTTTGTTTTTCGAAACCTGAGATGACCCGGGAATAGGAAGGGCATTTCCGTTCCGAGATACGGATATTGCGGGTGGAGTTTCACCTAGTACGAGTCTACGTTGAGTGAGGAAAAGTTCCAGGTTTTTCAACAGCGGTTATTATCGTAGGCTGTACCGAGTGATAAGTGAAGCATAGTGAGGTGTCTCTTTGCTTGCCCGTGTGAGCTAGTAAACAAAGCTCAATTTCAATTATTATGACGTTTAACGGAAACGGTGCCGACGGTGGCCAGGACGGGCCACACAACAAGCGCCTCCGTACCGGCCAGAAGATGTTCGAGATGGTTCCGCTCAATAGCCGGAACAACAACAACATCAACGTAACAGATGAGCCTCGGCGTAAGCGCGAGGTAGCAACCCGGCCCAACCATATCCTGCTGTTCACCATCATTAATCCAGTGTATCCTATTACAGTGGACGTTCTACGAACCATCTGATCAAGATATTCAAGAAGAATGGAGTCCAGTACTAGAATTTTGACTACAATGGGGTACGTTAATCGATTTGCTTGAGACCAATAGGCTAGTCAAGTAGTGAGCCAATTTAAAATCGTTAGTTTCCACCGGTTGATCCTGTTGGTGTTGTAGATTTGTGCGATATTTTCCCCAATACACTGAACTGTAATGACAGCTACGGTTGTCAGCACTGATTGCAGAGAAGAAACGTGTCCCTTATAGTTGTTTCGGTCTTCCGGCGTCTGCTGCATAACCTGGGAAGTGAGTCCGTGATCGTGGCCCTGCTAGATCCAAAAGATTATGGGCCCAGTCAGTGAAAGTGAACAGTAAAATTTTTTTTCGAGCGTTTTTCGGTTTTTTCGTTTTTGGCCATTGTCTATTCGAAGCGAGAACGACAGTAGGCTGCACGACGCGAGTGTAGTGGTAAACGAGTCGATAGAGAATCTGCTCACTGGTGTGTGTCTGACAGATTTGCAGTTGACTTTCAGTCGAACAAAGCAGTTGGAACGTTCGGTGTGTGAGCGGCAGCTGTAAACAGTTGATGTGAGAGAGACTGACTTTTGTTTACTACAGTGCGTCCGGTAAAAGTGCGGTCGTTTATTCCCACAAACAGTTTGCGTTCGGTGTTTTTGTTTTGGTTGAGTATGGAAGTTTCACGTTGTGTGTGAAGAACTAGAAGTTGAAATGAATGAGAAACTTTTGTTTTCCCGTCTCAACAACTTGAATTACCTTACGTGGAAAACGCGAATGGAAATGTTGCTCAAACGCGATGAGTTGTGAAACGCAGTGCATAGTGAGCCACCAGCAGCAGTGACGGCAGCCTGGACTCTGGCTGACCAGAAGGCGTTAGCCACGATAGTGTTGTCTGTGGAAGACGGCCAGTTGAACCTTGTAAAAAATGCGAAAACGTCTCGTGATGCGTGGAATCAGCTGAAGACTTACCATGAGAAGACGACTATGACGTCACGAGTGTCTCTTTTAAGAAGAATTTGTAGCCTGAATATGGCTGAAGATGCTGATATGGAAAAGCATCCTTTTGATCTCGAAGAGCTTTTCGATCGCTTGTCGTGTGCAGGTCAGCCACTTGAGTCGTCGTTGAAAGTGGCCATGGTGTACAGAAGTCTCCCGGAATCCTACAGTGGTTTGGTTACGGCCATGGAGAGCCGGCCGGATGCTGACCCAACTATGGAGTTGGTCAAGCAGAAGCTGTTGGACGAGCACAAACGTCGAATTGAACGTTCTGGTGATTCGGGGGAGAAGGCGATGAAAATGCATGGTAAGAAGCAGAATTCGGAGCAGAAAGAGAAGATCTGTTTCCATTGTCGGAAGCCCGGACACTTCCGGCGGAATTGTCATTTACTGCAGCAGCAGCAGAAGAAGAATAGTGACGGAGAAGCTAGTGGAAGTAAGCAGGGCGGAACAAAGGTGAAGCAAGCTGCTGAAACTGAAAACCCGATGTGTTTCGTCGTCGGTGGCATTCGGCGGAAAGGCCGTTGGTATGTGGATAGCGGACGTTCCAGTCACATGACCAACGATGAGTCGTTCTTCCGCAAGTTGGACGATAGTGTGAAGATCGAGGTAGTTTTGGCACACGGATCACCAAATCTATTGGTATTGGTGAAGGTTATGTGAAGTGCCTTGGCGTTGACGGAAAGGCGTACGATGTTCTTATACAGGAGGTCTTGTTCATTTTGAACTTGGATAGCGGATTACTCTCCGTTCGAAAGCTGACGCAGAAAGGGCTAGCAGTAAGTTTTGGCAAGGAAAGGTGGCAGCTCTAGCAGATTTGTGTGGCAACATGTACATATGTTTTGCGATTGGCAGAAGAAGCAAAACTTAGCAGTGAGGTGAAGCATTTGTTGAACTGCCAACACACCTGGCACCGGCGATTCGGGCATCGCGACCCAGCAGCGGTGTTAGAACGCATCAAGGCAGAGAGTCTCGGTGATGGATTTATTATGCAGGATTGTGGAATGAAGCTAGTTTGCAAACACTGCCTTCAAGGTAAGCTGTCTAGAATTTCCTTTCTTAAAGCGACGCAGAGTAGAGCTAAGCGTATACTTGATTTGGTCCATACAGACGTGTGTGGCCCGGTGGTCAACGTAACCCCTGGAGGATGCCGTTACCTTATGACACTAATTGATGATTTTAGTCAGTATACGGTAGTCTGTCTGCTGCGTCAGAAGTCCGATGCAGCGTGGTGCATGTGAAGAATCGTTTCGGAAGGGCAGCCTGCGTCATTCGTTCCGACGGGGGAGGCGAGTATGCAAATCAAGAGCTGAAGGAGTTTTACGAGCTGGAGGAGATCCAATCCCAGTTCACGACGGCGTACTCCCCGCAACAAAATGGTGTTGCGGAACACAAAAATCGAACTCTTCAGGAAATGGCCACTTGCATGCTGCTGGACGCTGGTCTTGCCAAGAAGTATTGGGGCGAGGCAATCATGACAGCGACATACATCCAAAATAGATTGCCCTCGCGTTCTGTGGACGGCTTGAAACAGGCGGCCAAGGTGTGACACGATACAATCGACATGATTCTCACGGACATGGGGTTCACTCAGTCAAAATCGAACCCTTGCTTGTATCTGAAGATTTCGTCGGACGGGGAGAAATATTTCTGTTGATTTACGTGGACGACATGATACTTGCGAGTGGAAACGAAGCGGAAATCAATCGGATTGAGCTGGAGTTGCAGAAGACCGTTAATCATTAGTCAACCATGGTCCTAAACCAGCTCTTCTTGGAGCCGGTGGAGGAAACGGATTTGCACCGAATTTTTCACCGCCCGAGATTCATCCATCGGAAAAATGGAAACCAACACCGGCCGGAACACACGTCGGACTGATGAAGGAAACACCGCTGACCCGAAACGGAGCAGCTAACTTCATTCAACCGATACAGCAACAGGGCGCAGTGATGATGGTCTCGATAACAACACAGCCATCACCAAGAAGCTGTTTAATTTGTTCCGCCTGTACGGAAATGTTGTCAGGATATAGTTTCTGAAGACCAAAGAGCATCCAGCAGAACAACAATCCAACCGGAATTGATGGTAGCAAAATTCAGATTGCATTTTCCAAGCAGTACTACTTGTCAGAGTCCACCAACCCTGGACAATTCTATCAGCTTCAAGAACTACAGCGCCTCCAAGAACAATCGCTTTCTTTCCCGAGTAAGATACTCCACTTCTTCAATACCCCACCCGGTATGTCCGAGGATCTGCTGCTGACTGCATTTCCGCTGAAATCGGAACGTTCCTCCTCCGGATTGGTTGAGATCCCGAGCGTAGCCCTCACGGTGAACGCCATCATGAAGTGCAACCACAACGCGATCGATCGCAAAGGCTCAATATTCCCGTTCAACAACTAGTTCCCGTGTGGCCACTATCATTGTGGGCATCGTCCGCCGGACTTCGGCTTTCAGCCGATAAGAGCTCCCTTATTCACATTTATACCCATCACCGCCCTATCTACATCGACGGAACCGCTGTCCCGTTTAAAAAAAAAACAGTTCGCGTCCTAGTGGTTCGTCTTGATCAGCATCTGACTTTCACTGCACATTTCGATGACGTCAAAAGCGGACGCAAAACCAGACTGAATCTTCTCAGTTCTATCGCTGGACGGCACCCTGACAGAAACCGGTCCACCCGGCTCCGTGTTGCCAGAGCAATTCTCGAGTCGCGTCTTTTCTTCGACATCGAAATCATTTGTCTCGCCCGCGATCTGCTAATCTCCAAACTCGCTCCCACGTATCGAGAAGCTATCCGTCTTTGTTCTGGTCATC